AACTATATGTATCAGATTTGGGCTATAACACTTAATGGCTGGTTTGAGACCCTCCTAAACTTCCTGATCTCTTTCTGGCAAAATGAATTGCAATTTTCATGATGATGTTTACTCCAGCAGCTGGTGTCCCTGAGTGACTGTGAAGAAAAGAGTCCACTCCACTGTCATTAAACCATATTGAATATGTAGTGTGTGTGTGTGTGTGTGTGTGTGTGAGAGAGAGAGAGAGAGAGAGAGAGAGAGAGAGAGAGAGAGAATTTCTATTTTAAAACCTATGAGATTTGGATGTATTTTTTTTCTCAGTATAACCTAGAGTATCCTAACTGATACAATGGTTCAGATAAGTTTGAGGAACACAGATTCAAGGCTTTAAAATGCTAATAAAAAACATGAATCTTCAAGAGAGGAATATATTGGAAGCATCTGTCATACCTATTTGACAACGGAAGTTTTGATTTGTCTTTAGTTTTTGTGTGTTGTGCAGAATACTTATGACCATGACAAAGATCTAATATCTCACAGAGCAGTTAGAAAAAATATCTTTAGTCCAAACTTTGCAGTTTACAGAATAGTCAAACAAAGACCCAAGGATTGAAGGTCTTCTCCAAGTGGCGTAGTCAGTTAGTGGCAGGCATGGGAGCTGATGCCCAACGTCCATGTCCTGGACCGGGCACGCTGAGGAAGCTTCACAAGTGAATCGGACATGTGCTAATGTTCTAGCCTTTTACATGCATCTTTAAAGAGTCCAGGGGAAGCACCCGTGCCACCTTATTAAAATACCACACAAATTAAAATCAGTACAACGTTAGCATTTGCCCACAGGTAATTAAAAGAAAGAAACTGGTAAGAAAAGCTAAAAAAATTTCCCAACCAAGACAAAAGCTCAGAGTTAACAATTTGTTGTTGTTGTTGTTGAGATGTGAGGGGGGAAAACATCTTCTGAAGCAGGACTCTACAACCCTGCTAAACTTGGCAAAAAATTAGCTTTCTCACTAAAAACCTGGCAGCGAGAACCTCAAGGACATATTGTCTTCCTTTTCCTTGGGGAAAGCTTTGGCCAAAATGAGATTTCAGCCTGAAACAAGGGGGGACATACCTGATTCACTGAGCTTGTTGCTAAGCCATGGAAGATACTTCCCTGCTTTGAAACCATTTATTTGGACTGGTGCTGGCGGCCCAGTAGAATTTCTTTCTCCCATACAAAACCTCAGTAATCAGAGTGATAGCTTTGAAGCTGTGGAAGTAGAGATCTACTGAAACCTCATTTGTATTTAAGCACAGTGTTAGAGGAAAGGGGTAAAAGCTGTTTGGAAAA